ATAAGAAATTGAACCAACCAGAGTTCTCTATTACATGGAAGGGAAAGAAACGGAGAACTTCGATTGGTACATATTCTTATGCATTACGTGTTATGTGTTATGCAAGAGTCTGTGCTCCCCGCTTTAGGGTATATCCACACAACTTGCATAGCCGCAAAAACATATACATAAAGAAAATTATCCAATTGCAGTTCTCTTTTAAAGTCGTACATAAAATGTGATTGGATAATTTTCTTTATGCATACGTTTATGCGGCTATGCAAGTTGTGTGGATATACCTTAAAGGCTGCAGCACAGACTTTTGCATAACGCATAGCGCATAAGCAAATCAACTAATCAGAATCTTTCCTTTCCTCCCATTCCATGGAAAAGAAGAATTTCGATTGGTTGATTCCCTTATACATTATGCGTTATGGATGAGTCTGTGCTGCGGCCATTATCTCATCGGTGCAAATTGCGGGAAAGTATTTGGTCTGTTTGTATTCTAGAAATTAATGAAAGGTTAAAATATATGTTTTGGATATATGTGTGGATAAAATTGCAATCGGCTAACATTTAAGAAATCAATTTACAAACATGGAGACGTCGTGGATAAATACTGCTAGTGCGTTGCAAGATTTCGCAAATGTTCTGATTTGCTGGAAATGGTATAATTGTTTGAGATTTGTTAAAGTTGACAATGATATCAAGTTCCAACATATATTCTTTATACATGTATATATATATATATATACACACATTGTATTTATTATTTTATACTTGTGTATATGTAATGTTTTTATCTAGTATTATTATTGTTTTATTATTGCTTTATATAACACATGATCACTCTTTTTTTATACAGTAGGTCAAAACCAGTTTCTCCTGTAAGGTTCACAAATTGTGGGCATTTCTTTTGTAGTAATTGTATCAAATCTGCAACGAAATGTATTAGATGTAATGTACCAGTGCAAGCAAGTGAAATAAAACCTGATCATTTAGTATCACGTCTTATACAACATTGCGATGTTATTGCAGAAATTATTCATAAAAGGTTAGAGGTTTGTTAAATAAAACTATAAATAACAATGTAAAAATAAATTATTTTAGAGATATATGGGACATTACTACTGATGCATCCAATATACCAATAGACAATATATCCGTAATACTTTCTACACCAAAGAAACAGGGTTATACACCTATGAAAAATATAAATAAACAAAATCACATAGGAGAAACACCATTACATAGAGCATGCTTGCAGGTATAGATATGAAATACTAATATTGTCTTTATTATACTCCTTTGCTTTGTTTAAAAATATAATTTATAATACCTGAATTAAATTATTACATCTCAAGTACTATATAACAGGGTTCCTAAAAAACATGTTTTAAACAGATTTAAAACATGTTTAATTAATGTTTTAAATATATTTCAAGCATGTTTCTTTTAATACTTGATTTAATCTGCAATGTATTCTGTTTTTTGCTCTTTATCTTGTGTTTTTTTCCTTTTTTGTGACAGTCTTATCGACAATAGTGTTTTTTTCACATGTTTCTTATCTCTTTCGAAATTTGTTGACTTTTACCTCAGGTAACAGAAAACGAAAAAACTAGAGGCCTGTTCTTTTTGGCTGAACTTTTGCACCAGGTTATCTTCCTCTTCTTTCCTCCCGGATAGAAAAGGAAGAAAAATGAACTGATGCAAAAGTTCAGTCAAAAAGAACAGGCCTCATATAAGAAGCAAAAAGGTAAGAAATAAAAAGTGGGTAAGAAGCAAGAAACAAAACAAAAAGCATATTATAGATTAGGCTTTAATAGCTGTTCTACAATGTGCTTTTTGTTTCCTGTTTCTTGCTGTTTGTCTCTGTCTCTTGCTTTCTTGATTAAAAAGGCAAGAGACAAACAGCAAGAAATAGGAAACAAAAAGCACATTGTAGAACAGCCATAAAACATATTCAAAACATTAAAAATACATTTAAAAAAACATGTTTTTTTTACATTTTCTTTTACCAACTCTGCTATGTATATTAAAAGATAATTTTAACTTCTCTAAGAAAGCTTCAAGAGACGATTATTTTACAGAATAATGCTGAACAAGTTAAACATCTCTTGTTGCTTGGTGCAAATCCTAATACAAAAGATTATGCTGGTTGGACACCATTGGTAAAAAAGGAATACATCAATATGTTTTTTGCAAACTTGTCAAATTTGGATTATATGTATTATTCTACATAACATTACAGCAAGAAACAGTCAATTTTGGATATACTGAAATATGTAAGTTGTTACTGAATTGTGGAGCTTTGCCTAATATAACAGGTATTAAGAACCGAAGTCCACTACACGAAGCTGCTAAGCGTAACAAAATTGAAGAAGCTAAGTTGTTGTTGCATTATAATGCAGACAGAAATCAACTTGATCAGTATGGCAAAAAACCTATGTATGTTTTATTATATTCGCAAAGAATACCTACTAAAGATAATTTTATTATATAATCTTTTAATGTGACCATGCAGAGACTACTGTGGTAAATCAGAAAAGATGCGACAACTTCTGATGGATTTACCTAGAACTCCGTCAGAAAAGGTATCAGACCTTAATCAAAGTCTAGATAAATCTATTCGTACAGGATGTGACAAATTTGTGGTTCTTGCATCAAATTTAAAACTTGAAAATCAGAAATTACTTCGTCTCGTGGCCACAAGACATAGATTCAAAATTTTGACAACGTATAAGTATGTATTCATTCTTTTTATATATTATTTTATTGTGTGTATTGGTTTTTCTTTTTACAGTAAATGCAAACGAGTGTAATATAATCAACTTGTTTCAGACCATCTGTTACACATGTCATAGTAGAGACAAATGAGAAAAATATTACAACATTGACACTTGACGTCTTATTCTCAATTGTTTCTGGGAGTTGGCTTCTTAATAGCGAGTGTAAGATTAAATATGCTTATAATGAATTTTATACTGTGAATTGTTCGCTCAAATATATATTACAATAACAGTTATATTTATGTACAGTAAAATTGTTATGTCTAAATGAAAATTTAAGCGATACAAAATTAATATTTAGAAGGAATTAACATTTAAAGGGATTCGACTGGTAGAAGATATGAATGATGATATAACTAATGTGGATCTCGAAGTGTTTGAAATTAATGGCGCGCCCACTCTTGATATCCCGAGGAAAGCGAGACTAAACAGTGAATGTCAAAATCCACGTCTATTCAATAACTGTTTCTTTTATTTTGCTTTGCAAGCAAATACAACTTATCATATTGCTGATGTAAAATTTACTAAGGACATTCTGATAAAACTTGTAAAGGAAGGAGAAGGAACAGTACTCACTAGAGAACCAGATCCAGAAGATCTAAAAGATATATCACAAGTGATACCTTTCCATACCGCGAATAATTCATCTCATCCTTTACACAAATGTACACATTATATTATATATGTGCCAGGTAGAAAAACAGGCGATCCGCTTATTAAATATAATATGCCACATATCAAAAGTCTGCCATTAGTATGGCTTATTGAGTGCATCGAAAAATTTACTCTTGTCGATCCAACTTACCTGGGATTGTGCTAAGTGCTTAAATTATCTTATACGAGGATTAATTCAAAAATAAGTTTAAATTTTTTTTACTTACATTTTGTTTATTTAAAAAAAATACTTTTTTATTGTATCACGCATTTATTGTATCACGTAGAATTAGTTTGGTTCTTAATAAATTTGTAGTGTATATTATATATTGTACGTTATTATTACAAACATTCACATGAATATTAAAATATAATATAATAGATAGGGATTCTAGATCCGATCATGGTGGAAGGATTAATTCATAATTAATTTAACCAATAGGATTTCTTACAGCAAAATTTCTGACTTTGTTGTCCCTATTTATTTTTTATTTAGGTAATAAAAGTAATTCTATTCATAATGCGTCTGCATTTACCGCTGCTCCGCTGCGCATGCGTTAGATGTTGTCATGTCACGTGATATGGCGCATGACAGCAGGACTCAGGAGCATTTCAGTGAGGTTATGATAGTCGATGTAAACAATTTAAACAATGAAGACCGAAATATATAATGAAATAATGATGACAATTCGTAATTTTCGAGGCCTGTCGAGAGATTGTGCCAAAGTGTTAAAGGAGAAATTTAACGAGTAACAATTCCTCTTTTTATTAAGACATTAATTCTGAAGATTAAGTAGTAAAATTAAATAATTTGCTGATTAAATATTATTCTTTAGAAACTTGTCAATCCAATATAATTATGTATTCTCCTTTTTTTTAATCGATTTGGAATTATTTAAAGTACTTATGAAATTTTTTATTCTTGCATAGCATCCACCCAAACACACTATACAGCATCTTATCGTTAGAAATACAACAGAAAATGAAAAACAATCACGTCAGATTGTTTGGAAATAATAAAAATTATTATGACAGGTAAAATGGCTTTAAAATTATCATAAATGATTATACATATATCAGAAAAAATTTACTTTTTTAAATCCAATTATTTTTAATTCACTGTTTTTAAATCCTAGTTACTTGGAAGCAGTGCAGAATGGAGAGCCAGTAGGGATTCTGCTAAGGATAGCAAAAGATATTGATGCTGCACCAGCTCTATTAGCGCGTAATATTTTAGAAAAATACTGCATGCGCGACAATGCAAATGGTAATTCCAAATAATCAATAATTAATAGAATGGCAAGCAAGATAATTAATTCTAAGGTCTTTTGGACTCTAAAGACATGTAAAATTTTATTTCAGTTTCAAAGAATCTAATTTCCAAACTATTTAAGGATACTACACTGATTGATGATAAGGATCTCGCATATGAAATTTATTTGGTAATTAGTCTAAGAAGATATATAATGTTTCATAAGAAGAAATTACATTTCTTGATTATTAATTTAATGTATCTAATTGTGATGTAAATTAATCTACATATTGATTATTAATCTTGAAAAAAATGAAAATTTTGGAAAAAACTTACTATTTTCTTTTTACAGTGTACATTATATGATGATCTGTACGGACCTATAGCTGATGCAATGGGAATGTAAGTGTCTTTCATATTACAATCATTTGTTAATAAACTGTACATCTATACTATATTTTTCAATATTATAGACGTTTATCGAGTAAAATTCGTTATAAGAAAAATAAAAGAAACAATATTAAACAAAAAGTTTCTCAGAAACTTCTAATTTTTAATTTTTCTTAAATGTTTTGATATTTAACTTTTTATATTTCTCAACTTTTTTGACACAAAATTATGAAAAAGTAAAACAAATTAACAAATTAAAAAACTTACACAAGAGAGAAATATATTTTTTTAGATGCATAGGACAAGAATATGAAATTAAGCTTCAAGATTGTTTAATACAAAGAAATATTGCATTTCGTAACGAAGAGCACTTACGATTACGAGGCTACGACAAGACTCCAGATTTTAAATTAGAAGTACCTATCGCGGTGAATGGTTATGTGATAAACTGGATTGAATCTAAGGCACGATTTGGTAATATGGATGTTCATCAAAAGTATATGAAGGAACAATTCTTGAGCTATTGGAACAGATTTGGATTCGGGCTTGTCATTTATTGGTTTGGATTCCTTGACTGTCTTACCAAATCGACTGAGAAAAAGTTTATTATAATGGACCATTTTCCCGAAAATATTACATATATGGACCCGGCTTGTATCAAATCTACAAATAGTACGTGATTATAATCGACATGATCGAATATATTTATTTTTGTACAATTATCTTTAAGATAATGATTCGGCTTAAAATTGTAAATACATCTATGTTAAACGATCTAATCTTGGATCAATATTTTAATACTATTGCTGATTATTTTATCGAAACAAATCAAAGTATAATTTTGTATATTTTCATATTATAATTTTTTCATATTGTAATTATATAATTATATTCAAATTATTAAACACTGTTCATACTTTCTTTTTATATTTTTCCTCAAAGTTTCGCAAATTTTCCTTTTAATATCTTAATTAAGTTAGATAATCGAATAAACTAAATGCAAACTGTAGCATTAAACAAATTAAAATCACAGTTTAAAATATACATTACTACAAAATATATACATATATTTTACAATCTGTCTCATAATGAATCAATTACGATGAAGTAAAGCCATTTGACAGCATTATATTGTACAGTATTCTCTTTGAACTCAAAATCTTTAATCAATGTTGAACAATTTATTGAATCTAAATCTATCAGATCTTATCTTTCTTCCTGTTTTTATCTGATACTGTATACTTGTCATAACTTTTTGTTGGATCAAAGGGTTCCCATCTACTCGCTGGAAAAATGTGTTTGTTCCTTTCGTACCATGATCTAAAAATATAAAAAAGATAATAAATTACAAGAAATAAAAATTATGTGAAAGAAATTATTCAATATAATCGAACTAGTTCTTTATTAATGAATACCTAAGTAAAACTTTTCCAGCATGTGATTCCTCAGTTTCGACAGATGCATCGTGCATAACTCGAATATCATCGTGAACGTCAAATGTGAACAAAGGCCCACTCTTTCCTCGTGCCTAATTGCAACACACACATTAATGTATTATATATTAAAACAAGATACATTGTATCTTGTTTGTATATTAAGCAACATTGTTGTTTGATAAGCTTTATTATTTGAATATTCTTACCTTAGTTACGATAAAATCATAGAATGTATAATGATGTGGTAATATAAGATCCTCCTTGACATACATTAACTGATCTGCCATTACTGTTTTAAGCTCACTAAATTCACGTCTCAGGACTTCCAGACATCTCTGAAGAAGCTGATAGATAGAATTACCTGTGTGTGAAAAAAGGAAAGGAAATATTTTAATAAACTTATGAAGTAGAATTACATAGAAAAACATATTTTTATAACTTTATAATTCTCTCTCTAATTACATTAAGATATTTACCTTTCTTCATTATAACACTCCTACGATGGCCAGATCCATCCCAATAACTGAATGTGATTTCAATCTCTTCTTCCTTCAATGCATTCTGCTTTCTAGCCCATTCTTGTCTCAATTCCTCTCTAAGTTTATTTTCCTCTTCTTCTCTTTCCCTATCTGGCAAGAAACTTGTATCTACATCTGGATTTTTTTTTATCTTCTTATTACATCGAGTATCATCTGATTTCACAGATTTTTCTGCATTGTTTTTGTCAGAAATTTCAGTTTCAGTTTCAGCTTCAACTTCAGCTTCAGCTTCATCTTCGTCTTCGTCTTCATCTTCATCTAAATTAAAAGACAATGCTTGAATCTGCCTTTTCTGTTTGTTCTTTTCTGCCTGTTTTGCCGCTAATGCTCTTTCCTTTTCCTGTTCTTTTTCTCGTTCCTTCTGAGCAAGCTTCCTTTCCCGTTCTTTTACTATATTTTCCTGCTTTGCTTTCATCTCATTTAATGTGACCAAACCAATTGTGGAAGTCTTTAATTGTTGTTCAACAGCATTGTAATGAGTCGCAAATTTATTCTCTATATTATGAATCTTCAAGTCATCTTCGATTTTCTTCTTTCGCAGTTCTATTTCTTGTTGTGCAATTTCTCGCTTCTTCATCAGCTGCATGGCTCTGCCAGCTTCGCTGGCTGCTCCTTTGTAATGTGCCATGTTTTACAAGAATAATCAATTACTACTTAAGTAATAAGTACAGGAGTTTCCTGTCTTCACCAAATTTGTTACAAGATCCACCAAATCCTAGATAAAAATATATTATATTAATATATAATGCAAATATCTAAAAAATTCATATTTTTAAAAAACTCTTAAACTAAAGATTTTTATAATTTCAAAATTTATGATACTCTTAGAAAAAATTTTCATCTTTGTTTCGATAATTATAATGAAATATTAATTCATATATAAATATCACTTTCTATTATGTATCACCTGCAGTGAAAGTCTCCAAATATTTAAAATGTATTGAACACGATAAAAAATAAAAGGTCGTGAGAAATGTTAAAATTCACAGACGTTTACACAGCTATCAAGCTCACATTCTCAGCATTCTCACAAACATCTGCGAACATCTGACCATTCTGACCACGCTGAAGTGAGAAAGATTCTAGACGTATGCACAGTGGAGCAAACATTCAGTATTGAAAATCCTAAAACAAGAACATTGACGTCAATTATTCCATTGCTCGATGCTCATTTTTAGCATCAAATTGTCAATTAACTTTAATCTCGATTTAATGTATTCTGTATTTCTTCTAATCTAGAATTAGAAAAAATAAAGATTAAGTTAAACCGAAATTAAAGTTACTTACAGTTGGAACTAATTAATTAATTAATTCCAACTTAACCAGAAATTGATGAAACAGACCTTTTATGAAAAAAGGAATTGTCTGTAAAATAAATATTATAATTTACGACAACAGGCAAATTTGTGAGTCGGTTTGTTATAAAGATATTAAACATCATTGAGATAATAGAAAATTTTACCAGTTTGTCGATAAATATAAAACTATACAATTATTATAAATGATATAAAGACCACAAATAAATATAAGTTCTAAATAATTTAGAAAATTTATTAGATATAAAAATAAAAAATTAATACTGTAAACAATGATAAAGCGATTATCTCGAACAGCCGCGACTTACGAATATCTAGACACGATACATACGTTCGAAAAATGCCCACATGGTAACAGGTATGCGTTTATAATAATGAGTGAATTATTATCTTATCTTTTTTAATCTGGGTACATCTATTCTGAGACAAAAGTCTCCGACGAAAGCTTCTTTTGCGATCTCCCTCACTCCTATTTGGTTGGTTTGGTAAGTGAATAGCCCGAAATTTCTTGAAACTCTAATTATTACTTTTATCAATAACTTTATGTTCTTACGATAACCATTCGAGATTCCCGAAGAGTTCAAAATTCGCTGCATTTCATTGGAGACGCACGAATCAAGCTGTTTATTTATATTCGGCATTACATAGATATTATTCCATATTGCTTTGCTACCGTGATTTATTTCAATTGTCTCATACTCGTGGCCTTTCAGATGTTCGGTATTATGTCGAAGTCACGAGTTTCGGTTGCATTGAGATTAATCGCGAATTACAAGAAACTGCATTCCACTGATTCCACATTGCCGTGCGGTACGAAGATCGCTCACAAGACGAAAATCGTTCAAGATTCAACCGGATTGTATTCGCGGTGCGTTACATTCGACGTGAAATCTAAATTATGAGCTCTCAAGTTGTTCTACGGTACCAAGCTGTGTCAAACCGATACCGATATCGTACTAATAACGCGTTGTTTTTTATTTTTGAATCCCAGATTGAAACTCGCTTACCAAACTCAATTTTCCACGCAGTATAAATATAAAAAAAAAAGAATTTAATTGTTTGTGTCGTTTTTCCGTTGTCATAAATGAATATAAAGGTCATCTTTCGTACTGCTCTATTGCGTTGAGGTCTAATCTCAATGAAGTTATATCTGTCAAGTACTGAAGCGGCGGAAAGTTTGAAATACTTTTGATATGAAATAATATTAACCTGGGTATACTATTATATTTTTTTACATTAATATTACTTCAGGTGAAAATACATTCACATAGAAAAGAATTTTTTTACACTTCCTGTGTCTACTTTATAGGTTGCAAGGTGTCAAATAACTGAACTAACATTATTTTAATGTAAAAAAAAAAACTTTAGTGTTAAACAATCTTATAACTCTACTGATCTATTTGATTCAAAATGTATTTTATTTTCTTGCTAATATTTAGTTTAAACACTTTTTTCCCTTGATATTTGATGACTTTATTAATGCAAGATCTTTTTCTGTGAAAATGTAATTTTTATTTTTTAGAGTTTTTTAATCGTATTGACTCAAATAAAACAGACCAGCAGGATTAAATGTTATTTTAAGCTCTCAAAATTCTAATAAACAAAAATTATACTAAACTTTCAAAATGTAGGTGGGTAAAAATTCACCTGCAGTAGCATCTCAGAATTAATCCAGACTGATTATTGTTTAGAATTTATTTATTGATTACCAAATTTACAAGATATTTTAAGCCATAGTTGTACAGATAATTTAAATAGATGATTTCCATAGCATATATTTGTTTTTCTTTCAGTGTACAACAACAGTACACAATGAGTGATATAGATAAAACTTTGTATACATTGCCAAACGATCAACCTGTTGTCGCTCTGGAATGCGACACTGCCTTCAAATCTTTGACGCAAAAGGAAAAATTGTACGCTCATTACTTGAGCCAAGCAGCATGGAATGGAGGATTGATAGTATTAGTACAGACATCGCCGGAATCTCCACTGATATTTGCACTGTTGCAAAAAATATTTCTCTCGGAATCTCTCGAAGACTTGGAAAACTCCTCAGTACGCGCTGGTGTTACTCAGGAGCAATTTACGGTATAAGAAAAGCTTTCTTCTTTTCATATATCTTTTCTTTATTTCTTAATTTTGCAGATTATTAAGTTAACATTTACATAATGACTGAATACCTTTTATTTTTCAGGCTTTCCTAGTTTATAGTTCTGGGATTTTTGCAAATGCAGGCAATTATAAGGCCATGGGCGATACTAAAATTATCCCTAATATTCCGAAAGGTTTATTTGAGGCAATAATAAAATCTTCAAAAGCTTACAAGACTAATTCTAAGGAGATGCAAGATTTATGGAATAAAATATCAGAACCCATGTTTTCCTTAAAGGGTAAATTAAAATCACTAGGATTGGGTGACAAAGGTATCACAACTTATTTCTCTGCAAACTGTACTGAAGAAGATGCTGACAAAGTAAACGCATTCATGCAACATAAAGGATTAGAATCCTGTAACGCAAGATGCTTCAAGACAGTAGTGAAAGATCCTGCGAATAACGATAATATTAATATGTATGAAATCAAACTAGCATCAGTAGAGACGTCAGATAATCCTAAAGTAACACTGCCCGAAGAAACATTCGGAAATGCCAAGTTTAAAATTACAAGAGGAGATTACAGCAAACTCTTGGTGCCTGTTGTGGAAAACCTCCAGAAAGCCAAGGAACACGCATCGAATCAGACTGAAAAAGATATGCTGGAAAAATACATCGAACATTTTAAAACAGGATCTTTAGACGATCATAAGGACGGTTCTCGTCTTTGGATAAAGGATAAAGGACCGTCTATCGAATCCTATATCGGCTTCATCGAGACGTACCGAGACCCCGCGGGTCAACGAGGAGAATTCGAAGGCTTCGTAGCGATGGTAAACAGACAAATGTCTGAGAAATTTGCTACACTAGTCAACAGAGCCGAGGAATTTATCCCCAAGTTGCCTTGGAATCAGGATTTCGAAAAGGACACATTTTTGAGACCGGATTTTACCTCCTTAGACGTTCTAACGTTCGCAGGTTCCAGTATTCCGTCGGGAATAAACATCCCAAATTACGACGAGATTAGACAGTCTGAAGGCTTTAAAAATGTATCGTTAGGAAACGTTATACCTGCCCATTTGAAGGATGTTCGTACGATTCCATTTTTATCTGACGCTGATCAGGCGTTGATGCATAAGTATAGGGTAGCTAGCTTTGAGGTGCAAGTTGGTCTTCACGAGCTTCTCGGTCACGGTACCGGTAAATTATTTAAACAGATGGGACCGAATACGTACAACTTCAATCGTGACGCTGTGATAAATCCTCTTACCGGTGATAAAGTAGACAAATTCTTTTTGAAAGGAGAGACTTACGATTCTAAATTCGGCTCTCTGGGATCCACATACGAGGAGTGCAGGGCGGAAGCAGTTGGTCTTTACTTGAGCTTGGAGAAAGAAACGATGAAAATATTCGGTCACGAGGGACAAGTAGCCGAGGACATAATCTACGTGAACTGGTTATCTCTCCTGTGGAGTGGTTTTGCAAAGGCTTTCGAGATGTATCAACCGTCCACTCAAACGTGGTCCCAAGCTCACTCTCAAGCGCGTTACGTCCTGCTCAGAGTGTGCCTGGAGGCGGGCCAGGATTTCGTCAATGTTGTCGAAACGGAGGAAGGAACCAACCTCCGTATGACTGTCGATCGAAGCAAAATCTTCACGGTCGGCAAAAAAGCCGTCGGAGATTTTCTCCTGAAGCTGCAAGTTTATAAGAGTATGGGAGACTTTGAGTCGGCTAAGAAAATGTACGACAGATACAGCGAGGTACCTGAAAACGGACCATATCCATGGGGTAGCTGGAGGAACTTAATCCTGTCTCGCAAAGAACCAAGGAAGATCTTCGTTCAATCAAATACATCTATTGACGGTTTGTATCAAAGAAAATCTTATACATTATTGCTATTCTTTAAATATTTGTATTATCCACACATGTATACATATGTATACTTGTATATTTTCATAAATCTAATTTTTTTATTTGTTTTAGGTCTTGATTCTAATAACGTGATACTGAAAAATTACGAGCCGTCGTTTGCGGGGCTTATTCAATCATGGATAGAAAGATTCCCAAGTTTAGACGTATCTGAAACGTTGATAGAACTCTGGGAAAAAGACAAACAATATTTTGAGTCGGAATATTACTAAAATATTTGTCCAAACGACTAAATCGTTAAAAATTTCATGTAACTCTGTACGCTCTTTCGTGTCTGGCTATTTACCAGAACAGCAGATGTTACATGTTCAGAAATATTACTTTTTTACGCTTTATTTTTTACTAAAGTACCAATGGTCGCGTTTAACAGAAGTCAGTTTCTTTTATTATGGCTTCCGATTTCCATTATAGATTCAATACGACTAGTGAAAAAAAAATCAGTGTTAAGTGCGTAAGTCGAATAAACGTTTTAAGTTAATACAAATACACTCACACGCAAGAAAAAACGGGCCACTAAATTTTTGCACAAATTGTTAATATTTTCAAATAGCAATAATTCAGTGAAAAATCATCGTATTGAGATGATTAAAAAAGCCCTTTAAAGCTTAAAATCTCTACTATTCAGATCAGTATTTGAAGTAAAAACGACCCTTTTTACTTCAGTGTTGAATAACTCGTTTTTTTTTGCGTGTGAGTGTATATATGTTAGGAGTGATCACAATAGTTTCATTAAAACTTCCAAAAATCTTTTTATTCATACTCTTACGTTGCAGCTCTGCAGAAATTAGTGCTTAGTAAGCGTTTTGCGATTGGATTATATTTTTAGATCTAATTATTCTAGAGGAATAGTCCTATTTCTGCAAAAAAAACTTCTAATATTCTACTGAAAGTGACCATTGATTGTTCAGGATTGAATGTGTATATATGATGCGTGTCAATTTAATTTTTTTAAAGCTGTATGACTGCAGATTGTATCATATTGTGATCCATGTTCCACGACATTCTACCGCGATATTCATCACTAAATTATTTGTCCTGTTCAAGACTTGTGGACAGTTAATTTAGCGCTGAATGTCTTGAGACGACTACGAGAGGATGTATTTATACCGGTATTCATAGTCGATTCTTATTTCAAGACCGTGAATACGTTTCGTGTATTGACTGGGCCAATTTTGTGACTTAATCACCATGCCGCATGGGTCATCATGTTCCACAGTATTTTTGTTTGTATTTATTTGAGTAACATGTTAGACAAGTCACTGGAGAAATCCAAAGAAATTGTGGTAATTTAATTATATATATATATATATATATATATAAAATGATAAAAAAAAATAAAATTTTATTCTAACAAAGAAGGCCTAATATAACAATATTATATTAAATATTATAATGTATCTACGTGTATGAGGTAAACAATTATTTTATAATTTTATAATTACGTTTTTTTTATAATCAGAATATTAAATTGTTTGAACAGAAAGTCTACATCTTAAGATTGTATTTAAGATGGTCCTTATAAATATAAGAACCGATTATGAATACCAGTCTTACAGTTGGAAATATTCCGAGCTTGTATATGTAATACAAAGGTAACTATACGTTATATATGAATATACAATTACTTTATAAATACAAGTTGAAACATTGTAAGTCTAATTGTATTATAAATAATATACAAGTATTTTAAATAATATACAAGGTGATTTGTAATCAATGTACGAAACGTTAAATAAATATAATAACGTATGAATATTTAGGTTTTTCGTAATCATATTATGGCTCAAACACAATGAAAGGAACAAGAAAAACAAGGAATAACAGATTTCAACTTATTAAAAACAGTATATTTCGGTTTTTATAATAGATTGAAATCTATTGTTCTCTTTATTCTTTATTCATTTCATTATGTTTGAGGCCTGAGCCTTATACTTCTCAACTCGAAAAATATGAAGTATCTAATCAAACTTTAAAACGAAATAAACACATTTCGGGCGGTGTAATAAGGAAAAGCAATAGGTCTGTTTTTATTACTGCACTCTGAACCAGCGTAATAAGTTAAAGTGAAACAAACGTATATTTGTTTCACTTCAACTTATTGTACTGTGTGTACTAATTCAGAAAGTGCAGCAATAAAAAACAGACCTAATGCTGGATTCACACTGCATCCGATGTGCGTTTTACGACGCTCTGCAACCAATCAGAAAACATGATTCCGATGGATTTTGCTTCGTATCATTGGAATCCTGTTTTCTGATTGGTTGCAGAGCGTCGTACGACGCAGATCGGATGCAGTGTGAATCCAGCATAAGGTCGGAATCAGACTACGCATTAAAGATTGAGATTGAAGATTAAGGTCCGTTTCCACCAACGCAGATCAACTTTAATCTCGGTTCAAGTTACTCTTTGTCTTTTTCTAGTTCTAAAGATTAGAAAAAGACGAAGAGTAAGTTGAACCAAGATTAAAGTTAATCTATATTGGTGGAAATGGGCATAAAAGATTAAAATTTGACCAACCAAAACAATAGAAGCTAAAATTCCTTCGTCTTCATTGGTACAATTTCAATCTTCATGCGTAGTTTGATTCCGGCCTAATGATTCTGAGTGTAAAAAGTGCAAACAATACCAACAGATTTGTTCGCACGCCGCACGCGCATAAGGTCCATCTGAATCTGATGCAACTCAAGTTTGTATCTATATATATATATGTTCATACTTCATGCTACATCCCGTTAAATCCGAAACTGAAAACCCAAGTTTTGGCGGTAATCAGTGTGAATAAGCGACAGAACGCGTGGTGGAAACAAATATTTCGAAGTACTTCGAAATGGAAGACAAGGAATCTTTGCGGAAATTGTTCCTGGATTTAGGCTGTGAAATCAAGGATGATGCTGTCCTCGATAAATGTAAGTTTCAAGATTTACTGAAATTTTTTCAATTCTAACGTTAAAAATCTTTCCTCCAAATCATGTCTTGTCTCGACTTGCTCGGATCATGTTACTTGTCGAAAACTTAGTTTTGATTGTAGAGTTGTAACTTTGAATTGCATCGAATGGTCAAACGAATATATCTTTTGTAAAACAAAAACATTTCATATGTGATTTAAAACGGATGTCGAGATTTTCCGTTTCTTTCTTGTATAACCTCACTTTTGAAACCGTGGAATTCTTCACTTTACGTTCGCTACAAATAAATACTTAAACGATTTAAAAGAACGCTAGTATTATTAATGGCAGTTAATTTTCATTCTAACTGAACTTAATCTTTTAAATTTTCTTTTTAATTTTAGTTTTGCAACAAGAAATAAAAAGAATTTTAAGTTAAACGATGTTATTTGAAACTTGAGCTGAAGTCAGAACAGAAGTTCCTTTGTTTATCTGGATTTATAGAATAGAATTTTAGAATAATATAATTTTGGAATAATAGAATTATTTAAGATTCCCTCACAAATATTTTTAATTGAGAAGCAAACGATAATTTTGATTGGAATTAGTCCTTACTGATATGTATTGCACAGGTTTTGAATTCTGTGACAATTACGATGTGGACCTGGATAAGCTTACAGAATTGTGGCTTACATTTTGCATCAATAACGATGCGGATATCCAGCCTACTATTGACAATCTGATTAAGATGGAACATCTGATATTAAAGAAGGATTACAAATTGAAGGAATCACATTACAATGAAAACGACGATGTACTCAGCATGTATGGCTGTACTGAAAGTGGACCATCGTCTAAAGTAAGTTTTTACAATTGTTTTCTACATCAATTTTATATGAAAAGTAGGTATGATAAGTAGTTAAACTCTTAAGCTCCAGTTGGAAATAACTTGCCTAGTATATAGTCAAATCATGCATATAATGTGTTCACACAGATGCATACATAAATTAGAATGATCATTCAAATTCATTTATTCAAAATAGATTGAAAATTAGAGAGTATTTGTCTCAAAACTGTATATATTTTTGACAAATTTGTAATTCGAATTTATTTTAATATTCCTTGACTTAAAGTTTAAGAATAAACAATGAATCTCTCTCTCCGAGAAATGTTGGCAGAATAGAAAGAAATCTTATGAAAATGTAGAGAAGATCTTTGAAATATTCGAATATAAAATTGAATATAAAATACCGAATTGAATGCAAAATATTTGAATATAAAATACTGAATACAAAATTGAGTAGACTCAAAAATGTATACATATTTCTAGCTTTATAATTATAATTTATTTTAATATTATTTTAAAATTTGAGAATATATGAACATACGCAAAGCGAAAAAAACTGACAATATGAATTGTAAAAAATTTTTTTTGAACTAGAAAAAATTAGAAAAATCTAAAAAAATTCTTCGAAAAATTTGTGACCAAATGTGAGATTGAAGAAATTGTTTGTTAAAAAGTCTACATATTTTTAGTAAATTATAATTTATTAGATTATAATTTATTTTAATATTTCTCAACAATTTAAAAATGCATGAACAATATGCAAGACAATTGTTTGGCAAAATAATACAAATTCTACAAAAATCTAGGAAAAATTCTTGAAATATTTCTCGCTCAATAGTCCTTTCGGGAAGAGTACCTACTTAAAAAATAGAAATTTCTTTTCTCGAAAATAGAATCCTTTCAAGAATTTTATTATTCGTCATAAATCAACGTCGTAAATCATTCAAGATAAACATCTACCTGAACGGTCTTACTTTCCTTTTGAAATTCTTTCGAAAATTTCGTCTTTATCCTAAGAAACCTTTGACCTTGTGCATTATTGGCATTGTTTCAGCAGACCCTTCAAGTACCCGAATAATTTATCTACTGCCAACATTGTCTTTGATTGTTCGTGGTGAATCCTCCGTACAAAACGTCTCTTATAAATTTCACATTCCATTCACATCGTGCTGCATTTTGTTTTCGTCGGATCGAAGAATTTTTCAAACTTGTCGGCGGTATCGAAAGAGAAAAAAAAAAATACGATTGAAACAGCGTTAGAGAATCTCGCGTGGTGGCACTGTAATTCCCGCCAGAAAAATCGCTCAGGTAGATTTTTTCCCCCGCCCCTTCACGTCGCTCCACATTCGTGGCTCTCCACGAAGGATCTCCCTGTGGTGGGAAGGGGGGGGGGCAACCCGTTTCCATTGGCGGAACGAGGACGAAGAGCGCGCTGTTCCAGTGGCTGGAGGGAGGGAGGGGGAAGGTTCTTCCTCTGTCTCCCTCCTCTCTCCTCAGCGAGCCGAGCAGATCTCTTTCGAAGGGCACGATTTCAGTTTTCAAGGACTCCGGCGCGTCGTTTGTCGGTTCGTCGTTTGTTCTCTCGCATTTATTCGCGCGTCTCGTCACTTCGTCAATGCCGATAGACGATCACGCGCGATCCACGCTCCCGTCTGTTCGACGATTCGTCAAATTGGTACGCACCTCGGCGATCGCGTTGCACTCGGTATCGGTCGGTGGCGGCGGCGATATCGAGCTCGGTATCTCTCGATGGCGTCGGGCAACAACGCGTCGCCGCCATCAGCGTCCGACAATCGCGTCTCTGCGAGTGAAATTACCGGGCCTTCGGAGAGTTCGACTTCTCGCGCGGCGATTGTCTCGGAGTCGCGCGGGAAAACGCATATCGACGGCTTCGGGAGAACGTTGTTCGCGCGACGTCGGCGATTACGTTGACGGTGTGCGAGAGGAAACGCGAAGCGGTAACGGCGGCCATGATGGTTCGGTTTTGGCTTGAGCGAGAAGCTCGCGAGTGCAACGAGCAAGTCCCGCCGATCGCGCGTCCATATGTTCGAATCCTCGGGAGAGGAGGATCGAGATCCAGCGGAGAAATTCGGAAGGAAGCGGGAGGATCGAAGCTTCGATTCCGCTCGATCGTTCCTCGCGTCGCGATCGCGCGCGACGCGTGCGCGCGCGCGCGCATGCGTGAGAAAAGGCGCCGCGTCGCGCGGACGCGAGTGCGACGACCGTTGGCTTCGACGAATCCTGTTGATTCGCGCCGCTGCAACGCTGCAACCTGTTGCTTCGACAACGAACGATAAAGGTACTCCCGTAGTCTGTTCTTTGAAGAGAACGCGCTGCTATTTCCACTCCGAGGGAAGTAGGTATATAATTAGTGTAATTAGGTATACCGGAGAGAGAAAGAGAGGATGAGAACACAAAGAGTACTGAACGAACAAACCTCGCGGTGCTTCCCTTTCTACTCGATATCGATTTTGTGGATTGGATTCCGGATGTAGAGAACTCGCGTTGGGTAATTGAAAAAAAAAAAAAACTCTTTGTTGCATAAGAATAGAAGTTCTTGTTAATTATTCGGTATAATTACGCGTTTCTGTAAATGTGGATTAACTTTAATTTTGGTTCAATTGGTTTTTATCTTTTTCTGATTCTTGGAACTAGGAAAAGACAAAGAGCTAATTGAAGATTAAAATTAAACTACATTGATAGAAACTGGCTTAAGACTTGGTAAGATCTCGGTTTAATTTATTCATTATTTGTCTTATTTTTGAATTCTAAGAATAATACTTGTTTCCCCAACAATGTAGATTAATTTTAATCTCGGTTTAAACTTCCTTTTTATCATTTTTCAATTCTAAGAATTAGAAAAAGATAAATAAGTCAAACCGAGATTAAAGTTAATTTTTATTGTTGGAACCAATTCTTAGAATTTAATAAAATAAAGAGCATTCTCTAAATTCTTTGGGGTGGAATCTTAATCTAAAGTAAGGGCCTGCGCACAATAGAGGAACAAGAATTAGATATTAAGATTTCAACCTATCAGAAACCGTGTATTCCGATGTAATCAGTTTCTGATAGGTTAAAATCTTAATATCTAATTCCTGTTCCTCTATTGTGCTCAGGCCCTAACAATTGAGCCAGTCTTGAAAAAGAGAAACTCTTTTTAATCCTTAAGAGTAAGATTTCGCTGTTTAGAATGACAACAGATGAACTTATTTTTAACTGAACTTCTTGTACGGTTCATCTTTTCTCTTTTTCTCTCCGACGTGGAGAGAAAAGGAAGAAAGCTGAATCATGCAAAAACTTTAGCTAAAAAACAGGCCTAATTCATTCTAAAGGTTCTAGACAGTAAATTGAAACGAGATTAAAGTTAATCTTGCATTGGTGAAACTGGGACTTAGAATTACAACTTAATACGTTAATCCTGATTCAACTTTTCTTCCGCGTTTCTAAGAATTCTTAGAATTTCTTTTCTAATTTTTAAAAAAAGATGAACTTCAGTTTAAACCAGGATTAAAGTTAATCTACATTGGAAACGGACGTTAATGTCATAGGTGGGATTTAAATTCTACCATTAAAAATCACAAAGTATAATATTTTTAATATTCCATGTTACAGTAAAATATTGAAAATGTAGTATTTTCGATATTTGACTTTTATCGGCGCTAAAATTGTAATCATTATTTTTAACGCGAATCTCTTAAACGGGGTAGAATTTCTTATAGAATCCGTGAATTTTTTATTTAATTTTATTAATATTTATTTCTTTAAAAATTATCGACAAAGACATACTTTTTATTCCTTTTGATTTTAGCGTATAAACTCGGAATTTACTGAAGAAATTTTTGTAAGAAGGAAAACAAGTTTCTCTGGCCTTCTTTCGCATTCTTGGTCTTTTTGACTACCTCACAGCGTTGAAGGGTCGAAATTTCCCAGCGGACCTTTCACTGGCGGCACAAAACCCCCGGCCGGCTTTTGCCGGCATTCGCTCCGCCCGTGCACTTTCTCCTCGTTCGGATCGCTGTGGAATCATCGAGAGACGCGCGTTCCCGCCGATAAGCTACGCGAATAACTTTCGTGCCTAGCGATATCGCATTTGACCAACGGGTACCTCGCGCGCTCGCGCGCTCCCGTTGCTGTCTCTCCACCAATTAACCACAATTGAACAACAACTGTTCCAATCTCTTCCCTCGCCCGCACGGCTTTCGGCTCATCGCGCGTTTCTTTCGTCTCTTGGTCTTCATACCGCGTGACTCGGACGAGAGATGGATCGATATTCGCGGATGTTCGAATGGATGTTGCAACGGGTCGGTCGGTCGGTGACACGATATGTCGCAAAGCAGCGGATCGAGAGATGTAAAGGATAACCGGGACATTGGCGAGAGTATTGGAGCGAGATGTCGATAGTGGACTTACGATAGTGGACATTAAAACAAGTGTAAGCCTCGTTTTCGTAAGTAGCTCCTATGTATTTGTTTGGCTTGGATCTGGAGGTCCATTTTAGAATTTACTGGAATATTTATAACGTAATTAAGCAACACTTGTTGAATTTGTTCACTTTTGTAATTTTCATCTCGTTTCAAAAAGAAGTAGATGTATGTTATGAATAGACTGCGGAACTTTATGCAAAATACTTAACTGAATGTTTTGCATAAAATGCATATTTTGCAATTTTGTAAATTTACAGATGGCAATCTCAATCTTTTTACTTCACCTTTTAATAACTCTTTAGCGAACAACGATTGACTGCTAAAACTGTCCGATAGTTAATATTCAGTTAAGTATTTTGCATAAAGTTCCGCAGTCTAGTTATGAATATTATATGAATTGTTTGATTAATCTGTTTTTTTTTTTTTTTTAGATGTAATTGTTGATAAACTAATAGTTTATGCAAATTAAAGAAAGAAATAGTAAAATTTTATTTTTTATTCGGATCTGAAAAGATTCAAATGTTTGTTGCAATATTTTTCTGACGAAGTACATTTTTAACAAGTCTATGTTAGTACATTTAATATTTTTAATATATTCAAGTAATTTATCACCTTTGTATATAAGAGATGAGAGTATTTGTGAAATCTACTTATATTAAATGGAAGTGTCTAGACTATTTCTTTGTTTGTTGACTTTACATTTCAAGTCTGTTTACTAACGTTACTGTTTGTTCGCTAATATTAGTTCGTCAATATTGATTAAGAATCTGTTTTACCCTCGCAGACACTCGAGTATATAACAATGTACTTTACGTTGTCTTAAAATTGTAGAACTAATAGAAAAGTCAAATCAGACAAACAGGACAAGCAAACGTATTCGGGTTTTGAAGACCGTTCCTCGAAAAGAAGACGAAGTAATTTCATTTTACATATTCGACTTTAGATCTGTTTTTTTTTACCGAAGTAATGTACATTCTTTGTATTTAAGATAAATTGGATATATTGTTTGATATTTGACAAAAGCGAGAAGAAAAGTTTTAGTTTAGTCCCTCAGGTAGCACGGTACATTTCAGAAATATTATTGTAACGAAACAAAAGACTATTGCTGTACTGTGGCTCAGGTAACATGGAATATTCCAACAATATTGGAACGTTGCATTTAACAAAGTAAAATAAGAGAACGGAAGTTTTAGTGCAGTCCTTCAGGTATCATGGAACATTCCAACTGTATTGTAATATTACTGGAATGTTCCATGAGATACCTGGGGGGTCTGTACTAAAACGGTTTTTTTTTTTTTGTAAATATCAAACATATCTATTTTATTTTATTAATACATTGCAACGTTACTGCAGTATTGCTACCTGAGCAATAAAAAAGTAAAGCAATAAAAAAATTTCTTATTTTTTATCCAAAATGGTTTGTTTAATTGTCAGAGTTGATTTCTTCTCCGCTTTCTGTCGCCTAGAATATTCGAATTAAGAAAGAATCTCTACGTTTCTGAACAAATAATGTCCAGATTGTATTGTCTTATTTTTTTAAATATGATTATGTAAAAGCATGTATAGTGTATATAGTAATAGACGTGGTCATATAAGTATATATTTTTATGATTGAAGAAAAATTTTAATATAAATTTTAACGCGCGTTTCGTTTCTCTAAGAACAATGGAAAAGTAGCAGCTCGGATTTTATTATCTTTGTTTACTGAATACCTTTTACATTTTACCGAAGAAAAATTCGAAAAAAATTATTTTCTCGAAAGTTCATTTCGAGCCTTCAATTCGTTTCTTTGTTATTCCAAATTTTTTGTCTCTCTCTCTCTGTCTCCAACATTTAGTTACCTGGAGAGCAATTGTGCATCTTGAAACGAAATGAAAATGGCAAAAATAAGTGAATTATTGACTAGAATATTTATAATTTTATTAGTCTCAATATCTAATGAATTTATTTACTTTAGTAATTTTCACCTCGTTTTGAGATACATAATCGATTCCCTGTTTTATGTTGAGTGCAGAAAATATAACGTAGAGTAGCTACAAAGAACAGACTATGCGTACGACGAAAGAAAAAAAAAGAAAAAAAAGGAAGAAGGATAGAGCGAGAGGAAACGTGTCACGTGCGAACAAGCTTACTCGCAAGCGCATGCGCTTGAACGGAGTGACTCCGATCCGGAGAGATCGGACGGCGTCGGACGCGGACGAGCGGGACCGTCTTCGAACTTGATTGAAACAATGCGTAATACAGGGTGGACGTTAAAAGCGACCAGGTTAATCGCAGTTAACCTCTGTACAATGGCAAGCAACGTCGTATTCTTCCTCGTATTCTCGCGCGCGCACGGCAACCGTTTGCAAGATCAGCCGGTTCCCTGCCTTCTTCCCTCCCCCCGAAGAAAATGGAAAGGGAGATCCACGCGGGAAAGATTCTTTTCGAATTTGCCGAATGAGTGGCGGTCTAGTGCACGGTCGATAAAGTTGTGACTAGATCCACACTCATTAAGCACGTTCGAGCATTGCAGCCATCGCTTTGGAGGGAAATCAGAGATTCCCCCGAGGAGCATCGTGTCATCTCCTTCAAGAGCCTTTGTGGCTATTTCTGCACATTGGAGTTTCCTTCATGAACAACTGATTTAGACAGATTGATACATTCCCGCCTCGATGAGGTTTCTCTCGTGAGCGATTCGTTCAATTGACGAGATTATCGCTATTATAGCGGCGGAACACTAGGAATTAAATAAGTTATCATCCGAAGACGGAGAAAGAGAGTAATTCCATAGACGAGTATGGATGTGGTGCACGTGCGTCTTATCATTTCGTGACTAGATACATACTCGTCTACGGCAATCTGTCTCTGTATCGGAAGCACCTCCAATGTGTGCGCCGAATGTGTGTGCCACCGAGATATATCGTTATCTGTATATTATATCAATGTATTTCGTAAGACAAACTTGTCCTTGCGGATAGACTGGCGACGGAAAGTCTCGTTGTTTCGCCGTGAAATTTACATGGAATTATATCTGTACACCTGTATGTGTATATATAAGAAATGTATGCAGCTTTGTAAAAAAGAATTAGAGAAGTAGTTGGAAGATCTTAAGTTCTCCTGTGAGAATGTTAATACTAGTAATCATTTTAATAATAGTGATTTATTGCATGTATCAGATAGCAGTGATGATTTTCAGAATAAACAAGTTTAATAGAGATCTATGTGCAAAAAGTCAGTTAACAAGATTGCAGCTATGACGCCTCTAATAGAAATTCAAGAATATATAAAAGTAATAATAATATGTGTATGTGTGTGTAATTCGAAATGTAAAATAAGTAGAGTGTAAAAACAACAAATGCGATAAGCACTAAATGACGGATATAATTTTATTTAATTAAGATTAAGATTAATGTTAAGATAAACCAGTTTCGGATGATTCATAATACGTGCGGGTTTTAGAATCGAGTATTAGAAATATAATTTTGTTAGATTTATACTTGGGTATTAAATACATAACAATAATGATTTTTATTTGTAATTTTATTTTATATATTCAATATTTTATCTCTTTACATGTTGTACTGGGAAACGGTGAAATCATCGCGATCTCATGTGAATAATTGAAGAGTTTACTTCTAAACCGTTTTATAATATTTTAAAAAGTATATACAAAATTATACGTTTCGAAACTTATTATAGTTGTAAATAATCTCCACTTTTGATGCAACAGCTTGGATAAAAGGTGGTTTCAAGCTAAACTCTTTAATTAAAGACTTGCGTTTGTATGCATTCACGTCAATCACGTAATATCGTCAATCAACTAACGTGGATTCGTTCAAAACATGATGAGTAACGCGACTGTTTTTTTTTCTCAGCGCGCACGAAGAAGTCCTGAGATAGAAGTCGATGCGGATACACAGGCTGATAAAACAAGAGCTACAGAATACTCGTTTTCATCAGCTACTTGCACCGAAAATTCGTAAGTAGATTTTTTTGGGCAGCGGGCTGAGCCCGTCATTTCAAGAAAAATTAAATATAGAATATTTTTGCGTTGTGTGTGAATAAAGAAACTAATATGTTTATGAAATATGCATGTATGCTTTGAAACTTTTGTCCTTTTAAAAAAATTGGAGCTAATAACATAATGATCGTAAAATTGTATGTAATTAAATACATAAACATAAATATATGTATGTATATATAATAATTTTCTAGATTTCGTCCTTTTCATTTCTTGATTTAACACTAACAACATAACTTAATATATTAAATGTTGTATGTATGCAGGCAGAATAAAGGTTTTCTACAATTGGTCAATTTTATGTATTGTGAACGTTTCCTCAAAATATTGTCATTTGTAGAAGCGTGTCAAGTCAGCGTAACATAACGGACAAGAAGATCTTACTTTCCATTGGTGAAACTGTCTCGTCTTGGAAGAGAACAGGCAATTACGATGTTCAAGTTACAAAATCTGATGAACCGCATGTCGCCAGCGACGCGAGGTACATGTATGAGGTCCTATCAAGACAAGGACACATTCTCACGCATGTGTGCCAAAATTTGGGCAGCAGATTGTTCAAGACATGGTTGAAGGCGAGCGCTAACACCACCGAATTGCGTTACGTGAAGAATGTATGGAGCGTGAGCCAAACGAACTTTCGGACATTCGGTCGCATCAATACGAAAAAGGACACCACGAATACAGTGACACTGGAAGGTGGCACAAGGCGGAAGGGGATCTCAGGGGCTGACACGATCGAGCTGGACTTCCGCAATGTGAAACAATACTCTGTATTCTCCGGTCAGATCGTAGCGGTCGAGGCCATCAATCCGGTAGGCGACATGTTGTATGTGAAGGAGATATTCGTAAGATCGTATGCGCCACTCGCGTTAACACCGACGCTCGAATCGAGGCTCAACATTTTCGTCGCGGCGGGTCCGTTCACCCCGTCTAGCAACATGCATTATCAGGCGTTGTGGGATTTGATGGAGAGAGTTGCGTCGGACGAACCACAAGTTCTGATATTGATTGGACCTTTCCTCGAATACACGCATCCCGAAATACAGGATAATGTCATTAAAGACACGCATCAGGAACTGTTCGAGAAGATTCTCACGAGAATAATGGAGTCGACGCGGTAATGTCTCACAGAATATCTTCAAGTTTTAAATTATAAGCGTTCGAAAATATTCTGATTTTCGTGATTATACGGATTGATATAGATAAGAAGATAAATTTTACCTTTATTAATTAGGTTTATTATGTGATATTACAGGAGGAACACGCAAGTCATACTGATAGCTTCTAATCGCGACGTACATCACGAACCTATATTTCCAACTCCTCATTATACAGTTTTCAATCGAAAGTTGTCACAAAATTATTCGAACTTAAAGGTGATGCCAGATCCTTGTATATTGGATATTGCTGGTTTGAAAATCGGGATCACATCAGTTGACGTTATCAAACATATCGGGAAAGAAGAAATATCGTAAGTATACTCTTTTTACAGAGTAATGATCTCAAAAGTTATTAATAGACTAGACAATTTTTTTTACTTAATCTAATTGAATATACATATGTTTTGCTATTTATTTAGAAAAATTTTATAAGTTTTTAATAAGAGATTAATAAATGTTTGCAGCAATGTATCAGGTGATAGACTCAGTCGTTTAGCTGATCATGTGCTCACTCAAACGTGCTTCTATCCCGTGTATCCTCCATCCGAGGATCTGAACGTGGACACGGAGTTATGGGAGAAGTATGCCTTTTTCGATCAACAACCACACTTGTTGATTTTACCGTCTGATATGCGATGTTACTGCAAAGTGATCAACGAATGTATGATTGTGAATCCGGAGCGCATGCACAAGTACGCTTATGCCAGGTTGAGTGTGAAACCGACTGTCGGCGGTAAATGGAGTTCCAATAATATCTCGTGCGAGATCGCCAAAGTCTGATAGTTTTAAAGTATAGTTTTAATTTATTTTTATGAAGTATAGTCTTGGACCTTTTTAAGAAACAAAATAATTTTTATAAAAACTTAACAAATTTTTTAATTCTTTATTTTTATATCACAGTTTTCGAGTATATTAAACAAGTGTATCAAATATTTGAATTACTTATAAAAAAAATGTCTTATTATTCAGAAAAGATATTTATGTACTTCATTTATCAAATAATCTAATGTTTCATACGAATTGTTAAAGGATCTTTGTTTAATTTTCCTTTTTCCTTTTTTTCGTTAATATTAAGTTGATATTTGCGTACATGAGCAGCAAGATTGTTTCTTTAGTATATATTTGTAATAATAAAAACATGATCACGATAGTCAGCGCGCAAGTTAAAACATAGAGCACGGAATATTTAATGTTTAAGTTTTTGGAAAATTGATGCTTTCCAGCAAGACACAAGATTTGTTTGCGTTGCTTGAGAGAAATCCCCAAAAATTTTTACATTTAAAATAAGATAAATATATTTGGACGTTGAAAAGAGAAAAAATGAAGATGCTCAGTGGAAAAAGTCCAAGTAGTGCTAACAGACCTACAGATAACTGTATGAGGGCAGGAGCGCAATCTTGCATAATGCATAACAATGCATAAGAAAATCAAGCAATTAGAGTCTAATATTTTATGGAAAGGAAAGTAATAAAAAACCTCATTTTTAAATTGCATTTTTAATGTAGTTTATGCAAGATTACTGCCCTATTTTATATATTAACATGTTAATATATATGTTATATGTATGTTATATGAGAAATTCTTTTAAGTGTGCTGTTTGATTACAAGATAAAAAATTTTTAGAGATTTAAAAAACTTCAGTATTTTTTCTATGGAACTCTTCTGAATCAATACATTAAAAAAATTTATCATACAATAAATGAAATATTAGTTTAGTTTGGTGATTATTTTATCTTTGTTTAACATTGAAAAACAGTAAGAGTTGGAGCACAGTCTTGCATAATAAATACATAGGAAGATGAACCAGTTATGCATTTTTTTTTATGAAATAACTAATTTTTTTACGCGTTTGTCATTTGTGGGTACTTTCTATTTGGTAACACAAATCGACACTTTATTATTCACTGGAATGTCAAAAAAAGAAAGATATATATGTTTTTGTGTCGACTTGTATCACTAAATGGAAAGAACCTTGTATCTTGCTGAAAAGCACCAAATATCTATAAAAAAAAAACGACTCCAAATTATCGGTCGAGTCTTTACGCCTTTCAAAATTCACGCAATTTATGTTGGAGGGCACCACGCGCCCGATGCTGCTGCCCCCGCAAAGCTCCCAGGAGTTTTTCACTACTGGTGGGCTATAAAATCGGCCATTACTTCAACATTTTTGTCGCGCACGAGGAACTACGATCAAATCGCAATGGGGAAATTGTATTCGAGCTGATAGGTCTCTCACACGGTGAGTAAACGTAACACGAAGCACGCTATGCGAGCGTGTATCCTCTTATCACGGATCATTCGTCGCGGCTACCAATCTGGAGTGATTTACCAAATCCATATCCGCCATCTTTATCGCGAGCTCCGCTCGGCTCTGCTTACGCTCCGCGTACTCGCGCGACGTATATTGTTTTTTTTCTTCCTATCGTCGCTTGTTTCATCCCTTCCTCGCGTCTCGAGGAATTATTCGCGACCGTGTACGAGGCCGGCCTTGATCCCCCTTTGCTCCGAAGTCAGCCGCGTCACGAATTCGATCAAATCCACAACGCGTATTCTGCCTTGCGAATCGCGATAAAAGCTTCTCTCTTTCCTTCTCTGCCTCGACGACGTCTTTCGATGATTTCGGAATCGCTTGATGCATTACAGATATTACTCCGTTCAGGTACATCGGCGAGATTTTCGTAGCTACGATGCGGTTACGAAACGGTTGCGTGGTAGGGGTTGCATGTGCAAGTGCATGAAGGAGAGATCTGCGTTGGAATTGTACATCAGCTGGTACCTGTGAAATGTCACGGATCGAATCTGGACAGCCAGTATCGACCGAGACATCCGCGTCTTTATTACCGACGGTCACCCCTCAATTTGCAATAACAATGCACGCGTTTATTTTTATTGCAAAGTATATATTTTACGACACGTGCTGAAAAACAATACTTCCTGTTTCCGCGCATCTTCTATTCTTCTCCGCACTTTCCTATAATTTCTGTAACCTATTTTGAGACACACGGTAGGGATTCGCGTCTTCTAATGTCGCTTTTATCAGTGTAGAATTGACTTTTCTATTTCGATTCTTATATTTGAGATTGTTTTAAGTACAGTTTTAAATTAAGATGTCATGAACTAATCAGGCCGGTATTTATAGTCGATTCTTATATTTGAGATTGCCTTAAATTCAGAGTATAATCTTAAAATGTTATATAAGCCAATTAGAGAGCTATATTAGCATTTTAAGACGTTACTTAAGACTGTCTTAAAACAAGAATGAATTATGAGAACCGCATTAGCATCTTAAGATATTATTTAAGCCGGTCTTAAAATAACGGATTATGAATACTGGCCGTAATCTTGGTTCTAAAAATTAGAAAAAGATAAAGAGTTAAATCCAGATTAAACTGAATTAAAATTAAACTACATATATCTATTTCATTTTAAGTTCTAAAAATGTATATTGATCCAGTTACAGAAAATACTTCTTGATGCAAAAAGTTGAAGTGAAACAGAAAGTTTGTTCGCTTATACTTTTTGCATTTAAACACTTTTAATCTCTTTCAGTTCTCTTCTCTTCAACGTTTGAATATATGTTTATTTCACTTTAAGTACAGCAAAAATTTTTGAAGCAACAAATATAGTTTGTTTCATTCCAACTTATTGCACCAGTATATTACATCAGCTCAGAACATTAAAAAAAGGACAGAATTAAGGTTAGAGTTTAATATTTGTTATTAATTCTTACTAAATTAATTATTATTAATATTATTAATTCTTACAATTAATGTTTCCGTGATTTCTACATTATAATTACGCGTTAAAAACGAAAAATAAATTTTTAGTCTTTTCCTTGCAGATCTTTGTCTCAAGAATGTTTTAATTGTTTTTAATCCGCTGAATTTGAACAGCTTTTTAAAGAAGTACAGCTCGTTCGATTATAAATTTGAAGTAGCGATAACGCGGAGTAGACCATATTGCAACAATCAGTCACTCCCATCCCCTCCATTCTCTCCACTTTCCTCGTATGTGTCGCGACGTCGGAAATTGAACTCGCCAAAATTATGCCAGTCCTCGACGATTTCAGACACGCGGGCACGTGCGCGCGTCATCGTTCGTATATCGGGAATGCGAGAAAGCGAGAGTGCTATATCGATCCGCTTTGCGCGCGAGGTCCACCTACCTCAACCCTAACATCCTATCGTGTACATTGAACGACGACTCGCCCGATGTGCCCACTGGCAGCGACTCCGTTGTTTTCCCCTTTTCGTCGGTGAATTTTTGAGAACGCGGACCGCTCCCTGTCCCGGGTATCGTTCATCACATCCGCCGTCTCGCGATAATGTGGAGTTCTTGCTTCGAACACGGTAAATTTTTGTCGCGAACCGACGATCTCTAAGTCTTTTGTTTTTATATATTTTATTTTAATTAATACTTATTAGAATTTATCTTTGTCTTCGCAGAAGTAATAAATTTGGGTAATATTTAACAATTGACAGACATCTTTTAAGATTTAGGTTTTATCAATGGATTGTTTAATAAATATCATCGAATCTTATTCTGTCAATTTCATTTGATGATATATGTTAAACAATGTACAAATATTTTTAATGAAAATTAGATGTGAAATAAGTAAAACATAATCTACAGTATTTAGAGAATAAAATAGTAATCAGTTGTGATATGAATAGTAAGTTATATTTGTGTAAAATTTCTTTAAATTGTCCGAAATCATTAAAGATTGAAAATAAATTTCAAAATTATTTTTTTATTTTGCACTTAAAAGATATTAAAAATATATTTGAATTGATATTTGTTATATTATTATATTTATTATTAACAATTAGCGACAGACATTTTTTATTACGAACTGTTTAATAAATATCATTGAATTTTATTTTATCCAATTTTATTCGATGATATATATTAAATATCGTACAAATATATTTTTAACGAAAATTAGATGTGAAATAAGTAAAACATAATCTACAGTATTTAGAGAATAAAATAGTAACCAGTTGTGATATAAATAATAAGTTATATTTTGTGTAAAATTTTTTTAAATTGTCCGAAATCATTAAGGTAAAGTCTCAAAATAAATTTCAAAATTATTTTTTTATTTTGCAGTTGAAAGGCGTTAAAAATATATTTTAATTGATATTTGTTGTTATTATATCTATTATTATGTAAATTTTTATAAAATGTAAAATTTATTCATTTTTGTAGACAAGATATTACTACGTTTAAAAAGCACTTAAAATAATTTTCACTTACTTCGCGTGAACAGGTAATAATACAGTAACACATATAATTACAAGAACACGATACTCGTGCGATCCATTATTCGTAGCAAGTTCCCAGCCTGTAAAATTTTAAAAAGCCTATATCAGTCAGTGTATTCGTTCTCTTCTAATTTTACCTTGGTACTTTTGTATGAAGAATAATGGAAAGAATCGATGACCTCATTTTATGCAATTGCACTTAGAATAGAATCGTATAATTTTTTAATACATAAATCGATTATTCCTGTTATTCTACGTATAAAAATTTTACTTGTCTTTTGTAAAAAAAAAAAATCACGAAAGTATAAAAATGTTGAAGTAAGGTCGTCGAAAATATTTGAATTTATGCTTTTACTATACAGGATAATATTCTACTCTTCATTAAGTATTGGAGAAAAGATCCCAGGAGCACAATTTATTGATAATATTGAGGATTAATTAAACCTTGAGGATACATTTGGGGGCCCAATGTTTGGCTATTATTGCCAATAGCGCTTCTGGGGAAATTCAAGATCTTTTAACTTAAATTAAAAGAGAAGTAACGTCTGTAATTAGTAAGT